ACTGCAGAGGGCTCCCGACAGCCATGTCTGCCGCCAACTCCCCCCACCCACTTCACAGCCTCCATAAAACCCAGCTGATCACATCACTCCCCTGCCGAGACCCTGGGGATAGGCCGCACACCCCACTGCTCAGAGTCCAGGTGGCACTCTCAGCGTAAACTCTCCAGTATACTATGTTGCCCACGACACGACCCTGCCTGGCTGCATCTGCCCCCTCACTCTGGGCTAAGCCACTGAGTCTTCCTCTAGAGAAAGCTCTCCCTTCCACTCTCAGTCAAGGTGGCTGAGATCTGCAGTCGGGACTCAGAAATAGATAATATGCAGATTCAAGACCTTGGGCCACAACAACTGGTTCAGTGAAGCAACAAGGTGAGCATTCCCTGGGCTTTTGCTGGGACTCTTGGAAAAGAGGCAGTTTAGGGCCAGGGGCTATGGTATGGCAGAAGCCTGCTTGTTGAGAAAGACAGCAACAGGGCAAAGTCAGAGAAGGTCTGTGTTGAGTTCCTGATACCATCATTTGGACACCTGAAACCAGCTATACCCGAAGCTGTCCCTAACTCAAAGCTTTTAGTTATGCAGCCAATAATTCCTTCCACCTCCCCCAAATCATTTTCACTTAGGTTTATGTCATGATTAGCCAAAAGTAGACCCTCACCTCTCCCTTTTAAGACTTTTGTCCCGGCTGGGCTCAGTGGCTCAGCCTGTGATTCCAGCACTTTGAGAAACCGAGACAAGTGGACTGCCTGAGTCTGTAGGTTCAAAACCAGCCCGGGCAACTTGGCGAGACCTCGTCTCTACAATAAAATCAAAACTTAGCTGGGCTTCTAAGTTTTATAACATTCTATATCAAGGATATTATAAAAAATAGAGCGCCGTGCCTCTCAAGAACACACCGAAATGACAGCAGCGCCTCTCAGAAAGGGTCACGTGGCAATGGCGAGCGTGGATTCCTTGCTAGCTCCAGACCCTCCTTGACTCGCATCCTCCCACAATCATGCCTTGGGCGGGCCCCTCCACTGTGGTTCCCCCCACCCTAGCCACATGCTACATGATCTCTGGCCTGGCACCTGGCTCACGCTGTTCCCCTGCCTGGAAGGGCCTGTCGGCGTTCCACCCCAGACACCCTGCCCAGCCCACAGGACCTGTCCGGATGCCCTGGAGGCCTGGTCTGACACTGTCTCTAGAGGGCACTTAAAGAGTCCTCTGTCCCTGCTGTACTAGCGAACCTGCTCACTCATGTCAAGGTCACACCTGTAGTTCCGGCTACTTGGAAGGCTGAGGAGGAAGGATCACCAGAGCCAGCAGGTTGACGCTGGGGTGGCCGTGAGTGTGCCACCACCCTCCAGCCTGGGCGACAGAGTGAGACTCCAACACACACACACACACACACACACACACACACACACACACACACACACAAAGACTTCTGTCCCTTAACTTCTTACCTTCCTCATGTGTACCCCAGGTTCCTGTCCTGCAGAAAACCTAGAAGTCACTGGTCGGAATTCACAGGATACTTAATGACTGTGCTGGAACTTGGACTGTGCTTGACCTGACTGTGAGCTTGTCTGTCTTACCGTCCCTACCTGTAACTCAAATTGCTAACACAGTGCCCGCAAACCTTAAGCCTTTAATAAATATTTGTTAGCAGAAGAAGCAAGCCCCGAGTGCCTCCCTAACAAGTTACTACACCCTTCTGGAAAAGCATATGTTTTCCACATTTTCTAAAAAAGTATAATTTTTATTTGTATTTTTTGTAGAGACAAGGGTCTCGCTATGTTGTCCAGCTGGTTTCGAACTCCTGGGCTCAAGCAATCCTTCTGCCTCGCTCCCAAAGTGTTGGGATTACAGGCATGAGCCACCGCACCTGGCCCCAATTCCCACAGTTCTACTCATCAAAGTTGCAGCATTATCAGCACTGACACCAGCTTCAGGAGCGACCCTTCCGTGAAACCCCACATCACCCGCCCCGCCAGGATTAACTGTCCATCCTCCGTGTTCCTGAAACATTCTGGAGGCGAATTTCTGTGGCGGACACCTGTGGTGGACAGTTCTGCCGTGCGACGGCGCATTCCTGATGTTGGGCAGCCATCATCACTAATTCCAGAACATTTCCATCCCCCGCCTCATGCCCAGTCATCCTCCATTCTTCCCTCCCTCTTGCCCCTTCCACCTCCAATCAACTTTCCTTCTCTATGAATCTGTCTCTTCTAGAAATTTCTTTTTTTTTGAGTCAGTCTCACTCTGCTGCCCAGGCTGGAGTGCAGGGGCACGCCCACGGCCAACGCGGCCTCGTCCTGCTGGACTCAGGCGATCCTTCAGTCTCAGCTTCCCAAGTAGCTGGAACCACAGGTACATGCCACCATGCCAGGCTAGTTTTTTGATTTTACTGTAGAGATGAGGTCTCGCCACGTTGCCCAGGCTGGTCTCAAACCCCTGGGCTCAGGCAATCCTCTCCTCTCACCTCTGCCTCCCAAAATGCTGGGAATACAGGCATGAGCCACTGCACCTGGCTTATTCTGGACATTTCATATAAATGGAACCATGCACTATGCAATCCTTTGTGACAGGCTTATTTCACTAAGCATTGTGTTCTCAAGGTACATCCATGTTTGCTTGTTTCTGTTGTTGTTGTTCTGAGGCAGGGTCTCACTTTGTTGCCCAGGCTGGAGTGCAGTGGCACGACCATGGCTCACTGCAGCCTCCAACTCCAGGGTTCAAGTGATCTTCCTGCCATCAGCCTCCTAAGTAGCTGGAACTACAGGTGTGTGCCACCATGCCTGGCTAAGTTATTTATTTATTTTTGAGTTGGAGTCTCACTCTGTCGCCCAGACTAGAGTGCAGTGGCCGCTCCCAGCCA